GAGCAGTGCTCAGCAGCCTCTGCATCCTTGTTCGTTTATTTCCAGGTTCACACATCACTACTGGCAGTGGCCAAGCCCTGAGACCGAGCTCGAGCAGCCAGGGACTGAGGTGGAGCGGGATAAGGCAACATGTCCAGTGCTTTGCTTTTCATGTGCTTGAAGAGGAAGAAGAGGAGCCCACCGAGGAGCGCCTTCTCCAGCAGCATCCCAAGCCACAGGAGGAGAAGGCTGGACAGAAAATTCTCACCTGCAATGGGGACAGAGGATGTGAGTGACCAGGGCTCGGAGAGAGGCATCCGAACCCCTGCAGGGAGCCTTTCCTGGGACTTCAAGCTGCCTCAGGGGGTGACACCACACAGCTGCCCTGGCAGGCACCCCATACCAGCAGCTCTGACGCACCCTTAAGCATCTGGGACTCCTTGCTCGATTCCCCCTGGGCCGGGTTGGAGATCCACAGTGAGGCTGAGGAGTTGGCAGGAGCCTGGGCATCGTGCACCACCCTGCAGATGATCGTGGACCCGTTTTTCTCCTCTGTCGCTTGCACCTCCACCTGGCTTCTCAACTCGAACAAGCCACTGCGGAGTTCCCGTGGCTGGGAGACGTTCTGCGTGTTTATCTCAATCCCATTCTCCAGCCAGGAAACGGATACGTGTGCTGGGTAAAAGTCCTTCACGAGGCAGGTGAAGGTCACGGTCTTGTTCAGCTCAGCGGGGCTCGGCTCAGCGTGCACTTCAACACTGGGGGGAACTGGGAAGAGAGGCAGAGCTTGGTGTTTGCTGTCCCCAACTCTGCTGCCCACAGGGAAACCTGTCCCTGCCCCAGGGACCCAACCCCACAGGAGCAGGACACCCCAGTGAGTCCCCCAGCCCTCACCTCGCAGGACTTTGCTGAGCTGGAAGCTCCCACGCAGCGGGGCCGCCAGCGTGGAGTGCTGCACCTCACAGGTGAGCTGCGAGTGGACGTTGTCCTTCTGCAGGGTCACCATCACTGTGCTGGACATGTTGTAGGTTTTCACCCTCCATTCAGTGATCTGGGGCTGCTGAGCCGTCACGGGGCCCGTGTTGTTGGACCAATTCACCACAATCTCTTTGGGAAAGAACCCTCCAGTTGTGCAGGTGAAAGACACCGACTGCCCCGGGCTCACTCTCTGCTCAGGCCCAGACACGAGTGGGGGACTGGGTTTGGCTGTGGGGAGAAGCACGGGGCATCAGACCAGGCTCTGGCCCCTGCCCAGCCCTGGGCCTGCCTGGAGCAGAGTCTCCTAAAGGGCACAGGGATGGCTCATGGGATCCTCCCCCGGACCACCCCCGAGCCCCTTCCCCATCCCTGTGCTACCTGAGCAGAGCCCGCTGGGCTGGTTCCCATCAGGAGCTGCTCCAGGAGCCCCACTCACCTTGCACAGACACCTCTGTGCCACTGCCACGCTGAAACAGCTCATCCTGACCAGTGTCCCCCTTGAGAAACTTCACACAGTAGTAGGTGCCCATGTCCTCAGGCTGAACGTTGCTGATGTGGATGGTGAAGTCTGTGTTGGACTGATTCACTGCTCTCGTCACACGGGGTAAGGGCTCCTTCTGGTCATAGATGGTTTTGTTTTCACTGCCCCAGCCCTTCAGCCATCTCGTAGCACCTGCTACAGGCGTTCCAGACGTGGTGCAGTTCAGGGTGAGCGTCTCCCCTGCTGCCACCGACACCTTGTCCTGGGGCTGGTGCAGCCTGAATTCCTGGGCACCCACACCTAGGCACAGTGACAAGAGAGTTTGGAATTGACAAGGGGCCCTAGGGCTGGAGCACAGCACGAGGCATCATCAGACCCCAGCCCTGAACCTGGAGCAGGCGACAGAGAGATATTCCTGTCCCTTGTCCCCCAGCTGCTGGGGACTGAGGGATGAGGAGAGTCCAGACTCTTGCTGGAGTAACTGAAGTTCATCTAGAGACAAAAGCAAGCTGGAAGGGAGGCATCAAGAGGAGATCCCTGGATAGCCATGGGCAGAGGGAAGGACTGCCAGGCCAGCAGAATGCATAGGAATCATGATGGGGCTGTGCAGGCCCCACTTACCTGGATCTCTGCAGAGCAGGAGCAGCATCAGGCACACGAGAGGCAGTTCCTGCATCACCAGGACCATGGGTATTCCACGTCTTGCTCCCTGATGGCTGGGCTTGGCTCAGCTGGATCAGGCTCCGTTGCACTCTGCTGGACTGGGCTCAGCTGACTCAGCTGGACTGGGCTTAGCTTAACGGGGTGCTGGGATCTCACCCAGCAAAGGGGAAGGAAATGGGCCACGACCAGTCCAGTTCCTCCATGCAATCATGTCCCATTTGCTTCTCGAAGCCCACATGATCTCCTGTCACAACGCTGGTCCATAATGGCAATGTCCTCCCCACTTTCCCCTCAGATGTGCCAGAGCCACGGCCTTGGGCACAGGCACTGAGCAGCCAGCCAGAGCGACCCTGCATGCAGCACGCTGCCCCACACATGGCCAGCCTGTGGCTCAGCACGCTGTGGTGCCAAGGTGGCTCCCAGCCCTTGCCAGCAGGATCGGGGTGTCCCCACAGGATGCTGTGTCCCATGGGTCGGTGGGGCAGAGCAGTGCCCGGGATACACCGAGTGTCCCACATGCCGAAGTGCCGGTGCTCCTCTCCCTCACCGAACCGGGCGGGATGCAAAGCTTCTCCTTACCCCGATCCCAGAGCAGCCCCTCGGTGCCGGCTGGCCCGGGAGCGGTACCGGGCTGTCC